TGCAAGTAATTGGGGATGTAAATGGAGTGTTAATGTTTTTTAGTTTTAAAAGATTAGTGTGATTGTGAACAAGTCTAACTGCAAGTGTACAGGCTCTTGGTGAGACCACACAAAGAGGCTTGACAGTGATGCTGGAAGGATACTTCTCCTCTCTTAGAAGTAAGGGACTGAAACTAAGTAATATTTCTTCACTCAGGTTGTGGATCTTTGAAATTCTTGATCCCAGAGAGCTGCGAATGCTCTTTCATTAAGCATATCAAGAATGAGATTAAGTTTTTTAGCTACTGAGGAATTTAGAGATATCAGGATAGGGTAGATAGGCGAAGTGAAGGTTGAAATCCGACCATGATCGTGTTCGTTGGCAGAGCGGACTTGAAACTCCAAATGGCTTACATCAGCTCTTATTTATCATGTTCTTTATTACGATGACTTTTTTGGAGCTAATGATCTGCCTGTCATGCCATCTTTTCCACCTTAGCTTAATCCCCCACTTAAGGCCATTACTCTTTCCCATCCTCATTCACCTTCTATGATCTCGTAGAATCATAGTTGTACAGCACGGAAACAGGCCATTTGGTCCAACCAGTCCATGCTGAACATAATCCCAAACTAAACCTGCCTGCTCCTGGCCCATATCCCTCCAAACCTTTTCCTATTCGTTTACTTATCCAAGTGTCTTTTAAACATTATAACTAAGCCTGCATCCTCCACTTCCTCAGGAAGTTCATTCCACATGCAAACCATGTAAAAGCTTTGCCCCATGTCTTTTATAAATCTCATGTCTACTCCATCAAACTCGGGCACAAACACTAATGGGCATCTCTGGTTTAATTGCTGACTGCTGAATTTGTCTGGACCTCAAAAAAAAAAAAAACAAAACCCCTTTTTTATCTGACAAAACTACTCAACAGTCCTGGGTAATCCTGGAATGGAAAGACAGCTCTTGGTTTCTTTGCAGTGATCTTTTTTTAAAAAAAAAAGCAATCTTTTCAGCCATCAGGGAGGAAATTCTAGGATTTTGACTGAAGGAATGATGAGATATTTCCAAGACAGGACTTGCAAGTGCTAGTGTTCTTATGTATCTGCTGCCTTTGTCCTCCTAGATCTGAGTTGTGAGTTTGGAAAAAATTCTGTCTTAGGAGCTTTGAATTTCTGCAATGCATCTTGTAGGTGGTGCACGCAGCTGCTATTGAACATCACTGGTGGAGAGTGCGGACGTGGTACCAGTCAAGTGGCTGCTTTGGCCTGGAATGTGTCAAGCTTCATGAGTGTTGTTGCAGCTGCACTCATCCAGGCAAGTGGGGAGTATTCCATCACACTCCTGACTTGTGACTTTATAGATGGAGGATAGGCTTTGGGGAGTCAGGAACTGAGTTACTTGCTGCAGGATTTGGAGCCTCTTTGTAATCATGTATTTATATGGTGAGTCCAGTTCAACTTCTGGTCAGTGGTAGTCCCAGGATGTTGTTGATAGGGGAGTTAGTGATAATAACACCATTGAATGTTAAGGAACAATGTTTATCTTGTTTCTCATTAGAGATGGTCATTGCCTGGCATTTGTGTAGCACAAATGTTATTTTCCAGTTTTCAGCCTAAGCCTGGATACCAGCCCTGTCTTTTGCATTTGGACATGGACTGCTCCAGTATCTGAGGAGTCACAAATAACGCTGAACATCCCCACTTCTGACCTTTACGACGGACAGAAGATTGGAGCAGCGGGAGAGGGTTAGATTTAGGAGACTATCCAGAGGAACTGCAGAGAAGCTGAAATGACTAACCTCCAACAACCACCACCATCTCTCATGTGCCAGGTATGACTCCAACTAGTGGAGAGTTTTCCCTGGTACCCAATGATTTCAGTTTTGCTAGGGCTCTTAGATGACCCACACAGTCGAATATGGTCTTGATGTTAAAGGCTGTTACTCTCCCTTCACCTCTGGAATTCAGCTCTTTTGTACATGTTTGCAATAAACCTGTAATCAGCTGAGTGACCCTGGTGGAACCCAAACTGGGTACCAGCAATCAAGTTATTGCTGAGTAGGTGCTGTTTGATAGCACTGTTGAAGACTCCTTCTGTCACTGTCTTGATGATCAAGAGTAGACAGATGAGATAGTAATCAACTGGGTTGGACTTATCTTTTTGTGTACTCAGGACATACCCGAGTCATTTTTCACATTGAGTAGATGCCGGTGTTGTAGCTGTACACAACAACTCACCTAGGGGCGTGTCAAGTTCTGAGTGAATCGAATTGTCTGCAGACTGATCTCCATGATGCTGGGGACCTCTGGAGAAGGCCATGTACATGTCATATTAATGAGACCATTCACTACCAAAAGAGAGGTCTGTTGGAAACTTGCAAATATAAACATCTGAATCTGAAGTTACCACTGAATGCAATCGGTCAGTTGACAGTTTGGGTCGTTAAGTTCTTCATAAATTAGTGTCCAGCTTTGGAACTATGTTAACGATTGTAAGGAAGTGTGTGAATATTCCAGGTACACATGGAAAAATAAGTTGTCTATTAATTCATGTGAGATAATTAATAGTATGAGTCTCAATCAATATCTTTTTAGAAAAGTTACTGATAATGGTTTAAAAGAAAAGCAGTGATGTTCAATTCAAAATGAAAGGTAATGAAGTAGCTGGGGGTATCGTAGAGTGCAGGTAGGGTTCGAAGATGGAAATTGCTTCGAACCAAGAACGACAGGGTGCCCAGAATAAAGATTTTCCTGGCATTGAAATTAGTTTGCACCCAAACATTCATGGGAACCATAATGTGATAAATGAGAGATCATCATCAAGCTTGTAGACCAATTGTCAGGCAAAATGATCACCTAATGTGTTATGTTCCATGTCATGGTGCCTATTTCACCAAAGATAGATAATGAAAGACCACCCTATCATAGTGTGCAAAGCACACTATTCTGTGTAGCGATTTGAGTCTGACTTTGGAGTACAGACCTAATTAATTTTTTTTTTTTTTTTTTTTAAAAGAAATGTTCAATCCTTTCTCCAAGTGTTGCCCATTGGGGTTTATCTTCAGTTCTTACTACCATTCTGTCCGACGAATTCACCTCTCTGTCTCAATGACCTGTGACTTAAAAAATGTGTCATACCATGTTATGGAGTTGGGTTGTTTACAGAGCAATTGTACTGTTTCGGAAAATTTGAACACTGGATGATTCTCTATTCCCTGGAGCTTTGAAGTGTATAAAATAACTAATGTACTTGATTGAGAGATTTTTCCATGTACGTGGGTCCAGAACTAGGGGTCAGAATTTTAGAATTAAAAACTTACTGACTTAGCCTAAAGATGAAAATTTTCTTCACACAAATTTTATGAACATTTGAACTCTAACTCCATGGGTCTTCAGGTGCTCATTTGATGAGTATACATAATTTAGAGATCAGTGTGTTTTTCTGCACTTTTAGTAGAGTGGGCTTGATTACCCTATTTCTTATGTTATTTTAACTCTGTTAATAATTTAATTTTAATGTATTGTGCTTAGCATTATGGAGCTCATAATACAAGATGGGGTATTAAAGAAACAGTAAAGTCACAAAATCATAGAATCCCTACAGTTTGGAAGCTGGCCATTCAGCCCATCTAGTCCACACCAACCCTCCAAACAGCATCCCACCTAGACCCACCTAACCCTGTAACCCTATATTTCCTATGGCTAATCCACCTAGCCTGCACATCAGTGGTCACTATGGGCAACTTAGCCTGGCCAATCCACCTCACTGCACATCTTTGGACAAAATGGAGGTTATCCTCTCGCTTCTTACATGTGGATGTTAGTGTAAAAGATTCATCAGGGTATGGCAGCTAAGAAGTGAGCTTGTCATGGACAGTGAAGGAATTAACCCTAATCCTTTATGCATTAGCTGGTTTACCTCTTGTTAAATATACAGTGGAAGTAACTGTTTCATGAAGTGGTTCTAAAAAGGCAGATTAATGTAAAGCTGAGACCTGATGGCTTTATATCCTGGAAAGTCTCTGGAAATGAAGGTTTTATTTTCCAGAATTGTGCAGACAGATAAAGTGTGCCTGAAGACTATAAAGTAACAGTTGTGACTGACCTCTTCAAAATAAGTAAGATTTAGAAAATTATTGGCTCCTTTAGTGTTTCTTCTGATAGCTCAACTGGTTGATCAATAATATATATGATGAAATTGCTAAACAATTGGAGAGATGGGAGCTAATCAAGATTAAATTTCAGGGATTTCTAAGAGACAACTCCTTGCCTGACCAGCCTTTTTAAAAATAAATAAATAAATAAATAAATAAAAAATTGCTTGAACGATTAAGGAAGGTGAGTGAAGGCAATGTGGTGGATGTGGATTTTTCTTTTTCAAAAATCGTTTGGTAAGGGTGCCTATGAAGAAATTATTACAGCACAGGAACTAAGGTCAATGTAGCCAACACAGCTGGAGATGGTTTGAAGATAGAATGTAAACAGGTACAGTTTAAAGAAAATTTCTTTGCAAAGATACCAATTGAAATACAGGAGCAGATATGCTATGTGTAAGTACACATACTGTTAAAGGTGGAAATGTAGATAGAGGAAAACTGAATTCCTGCTTTTGTGTCTGTAGGCACAGAATGCAAAAGAAAGGTAGGAATTTTGAATTTATATACAAGTTTAATTAGGTAGCTCAGAGTAATATGTGATGTTCTGGGCTTCTCTCCCAGAAAATAAAGAAATGTAAAGGTAAATAGTCACAGCAGTGGTGGCTCTTATTGAACATTTTATTTTACTTAATATTCACAATGTCCTTTCAGAGCTAGTCAATTTCTCATTGTCCACAGTTTCCTAATTGCCTAAGGTTGTATACAACTGTGATGCTTGAGCAGCCTGCATATATTCTATATTAATTACATGTTGATGTGTTATCAACAAGTGTTACCTAAGTGTTATGTAACAGTAATTCTCAACATGTTTGTTTGGCTTTGTCTTTTTAAAAAAAAATCCAATATTGATCTCGTCCCTTCCAGGTGAGCAGATTGAGCGAGCCAGGCGTCTACAGAGCAAAATGACAACCAACTTGATTATGGCCAAGGATCGTCTGGAATTGCTGGGTGTGTAATACTTGAGCTCTTTAAAGAAAAAAAATGTTGATTTTATGGGTCAGTGACTGGCGGTTTATAAATAGATTTATCTTACAATGACTTCAATTGAGTATGGGTTGCATGCACTAATCCTGTATACCACGAAATATAAACTATTAAGGGTAATATAATAAACGTCATTAATGGATTTGACAGAGTACATGAAGAAAACTATTTTCTGTGTTGCAAAGTCCAGAACAAAGGGATATAACTTTTAAAATTGTTAGACTGTTCAGGAATTGATGTGAGGTGGTGTGCATAAACTGAATGCCCGCACGCTAACACATGCAGCTTGAGGCTGAATTGTAAATTTCAGAACTGAGTTTGATCATATTTTTTTTTTTTCTTGAATAAGAAGTGAGGTATGGAACTGTGGTGGCAATAGTTAATACAAGACCAACTCTGAGCAAATTCACTGGTGGAACTAGCTCAAAGGTCTGAATAGCCACCTCCTGTTTCTGTTTCTCCATCCTGTTTTTCTTCCCTCGTTATTGTTTTCTTTACTCTTTTATGGTTGCATTGAAACCCCTGTAATCCCCATTAATTGCTTTACATTAGTTCTATCACTATCAGTCCTTCACTTTGCATTCCTTCATGTCACCATGCTCTTGTTTCACCTGGGAAAATGGCATCCTGCATGCCAAGCTCCTATCCATCAGTGTTATCTTTCCTTTTTACGTGTGTAACAACTGCCAAATGTACCATAGGGAAGAAAACTTGCCTGATCCTCATCCACAAAGCCTTTTTGTGATTCCAGTCCAGGCTGACATTGTTAACTCTTAGCTTCCCTGATACAAATCAGTGGGTGGTTAAGGGATTTGCAAAATGCCAGTGACAGTCATTAACTGTAGTCAACCTCCATTCTTCTATGCATCATAAGGATATGCTTCAAGTAAGCATTTGAAGGTGGAGTATGTGGAACAGTCTTTATTCATTTACAACTTGGGTGTGTTATGAATCAGACCAAATCCCCTCAAAATATTTCAAGGAATTAGCCTAACTCTAACTTTTGTCTTAATTAAGGGCAGGTGTAAGGCACTATGTATTCCAGATGCGACTACTTGGTCAAACTACTAGGCTTTAAACAAAACAAAATTTATTCTGCACTACAGTTCAAATATAAACAAAAGAAAAATAGGCATAACTTTAACTGTTAAAATACTTGTAGTAGTTCAATCTCTATTATTTTATCAATTGTTCTAATATAGCAACACTTTCAGGAGAAGGAACTCTAGCAGAAGAGAGAGAGAACTCAAGCTTTTGTAGCAGCAGAGAGCCATATCTAGTAGCTTCAACTCCAAAAACTCTAACTTAACTGAAAGCAAAACTAAATCCTGGGTTTGCGAGCCTGATTCCACCCACTCATGCTTATTTTGTCTTTTTTTTTTAAAACCCCAAAGCTATTTATTCTGCTATTCTTGGAGCAGGCACCTCATCGTCAGGTTTACAACACCTCTCCAAGAAAAACAGGACAGAACAAATCCTTCTTAAAGGCACAAATCATCACAGGTGATTAACCTGTGTTGTAAATGTGTTTTTTTTTGTTTCCAGTTCGATCTTTCAAGCTCTTGGAAGAAGTATTGAAAACCATGCTTCCAGTTCCTGAGTCCTTTGATAGTAATCTGTTTGCTCAAGTAGTTGTAATAGTCATAGAGCACAGAAACAGATCCTTTGGCTCAACTTGTCCATGCTGACCAGACATTCCAATCTGATCTAGTCCCATTTGTCAGCATTTGGTCCCTCAACCCCCTCTATTCATGTTGATGGCTTTTAAATGTTGTAATTGTATGCAAAACCACCACTTCCTTTGGCAGCTTTTTCCTTGTACACACCACCCCTTGTGTGAAAAAGTTACCCCTTGGATCCTTTTTAAATGTTTCCTGTCTCACCTTTAAACCTCTAGTTTTGGATTTCCACACCCTATGAAAAAGACCTGGCTGTTC